ACTGTATTATAAAGTTAAACTTATATTTATATTTTAAGGTTGAATATGAATATTGTGTAAATTTATTTAACTATAAAAATATTGAATTCTTGAGACTTAATAAGGAAACGAGTGTTTTATTCTAATAGCATGTTTACTCTATTCAGCTATTTGTTGACTATTGCTTTCAATAGCAGTAAATTGATAGCTATTTCTTATCATTAGAGCTAATTGAGGGTCACTTTATATTACAGAATCGGCCATATTTTAAGTAATTTATTAAAAGAGGAATTTTGTTATAATAATGAAAATGTAGCCATAATTTAGCATTATATTTGGGTATGACTTGAATGAAGGATAATATTCATATTTTATTGCTAATCAATAATTGGACTGAATTCTGAATTACAAGCTTAAGTTAATTTCATATTTCAATCATATTGATCATGCAAATCTAAATATCAATACAATTGAGAAAATACAGTAAATGGGTTAAATTATAAATTTTTAATATAATGTAATGAATGGTTGAATAAATATAAATCAAGACTAATAGGGATGCAATTGATATGAATTTGAATGAGTGGTCGACGTATGCGTAGTCGAGAGGATGGCATCGAAAATGGCTTTTATTGATCACAACCTAAACCTAAACTAAAGTTATATTTTTCGATTCAAATTTACTTTCACTCCTCAATCAAAACCGTTGTTCATATCATTCATACATTTACTGAAAATTACATTCAATTCTGAGCTTATATCCAAGTGTTTTGTGTGACTTTCAATGCTTTTCTAACTCCAAGTTTTAGTCGAAAAGACCTTGAATTTGATGTCAGCTTTAATTTGAATTTGAGATAATAAATCAAAAGTTATGCAATAAATTGGTAAAAAACATAAGGTATTCCTAAATACTGTTTATTTTCAAGTTTATTATATATCAGAGTTTATCACAAATATATCTCTCAACCGATTCCTAATATTATATAAGAATATTTAATATCAAATAATATAATTTTCAATTCATTCCTATCATACCTGTAGTAACAGTCAAATACACACAAAGTGCACAAAATGCTGACTTCTTCACTGAGAAGATCTATACTCCAGAAGCCATACAAATCACAATTGGATTCCATATTTAAAGTCTGTTTCTCGACTCAACTCCAGGAGCCGTCGGAGCCCCGGGTGTTGACAGCCGTTCCCGGACCCAACTCTATCCGACTTAAGCAGGAATTGGATACCATTCAGAACTCGTCGGCCATCCAACTGTTTGTCGATTATACCAAATCTGTCGGAAACTTCTTGAGCGACGCCGACGGAAATGTGTTCCTCGATATATACAGTCAGATATCATCCATACCTCTGGGGTATAACCATCCGGCGCTCCTTAAGGCGGCGTCAGATCCCAACAATTTGTCCACTTTTGTGAACAGAGCGGCCCTCGGAATCCTTCCTCCAAAGGATTTCGCAGACAAACTGAAGAGCGCTCTCCTGTCGATCGCACCCAAGGGTCTGACAGAAGTGCAGACTATGGCGTGCGGCAGCTGTTCCGTTGAGAATGCACTCAAAGGTATGCCCTTTTGTTTCGTTCAAATATTTTATAGATTTCTTACGAAATGTATTTCAAATCTTAACCTATAATAGCGGCCTGTTTTTGGTATCAGACGAGACAACGGAACGGTGGACCTCCCAGTGCTGAGGACTTAGAGTCATGTATGGACAATAGGATTCCCGGTTCACCCAAACTTAGCATATTGTCATTCAAAGGAGGCTTTCACGGCCGCACTTTCGGTGCCCTCAGGTTTCTTATACATGAAAATTAGTGACTTGTGTACAGAATGTAATGCAATTGTCCGACAGCTGCACCCACTCCAAGCCAATCCATAAGCTGGATGTGCCCGCATTTGACTGGCCTATCGCCACATATCCCGTATACAAATACCCCTTAAATGAAAACGTCGCCGAAAATGACAAAACCGATGAAAAATGTCTGAAAGAAGTGCAGCAATTGATTGACGAATACTCGAAAAAGGGTGTTCCGGTGGCCGGTATGATCATTGAGCCCATTCAGGGCGAAGGTGGCGATAATCACGGCTCAGCCAAGTTCTTCCAGGGGTTGAGAAAACTTTGCACCAAAAATAAGGTCGCGTTTATTGTGGACGAGGTATGTGTCGATGATATGAATAGACTAATGATTTAAACAATTATTATAAAAGATTGCCTCAAAATAATGATGATATGATCACTCTATAGGTGCAAACTGGTGGCGGACCCACTGGTCGTATGTGGGCTCACGAGCACTTCCAACTGGACGAGAGCCCAGACATTGTCACGTTTAGCAAAAAGCTGCAAATCGGAGGCTTTTACTACAAGAAGGCATTCAGACCCGACCAGCCCTACCGTATATTCAACACATGGTTGGGCGACGCCTCTAAACTCGTATTTCTCGAACAAGTAGTGAAAGTAATAAAAGAACAGAATCTTCTCGAAAATATGGCCAAAACCGGTGATTATATGCTTAAAGGCTTGGAATCACTGCAAAACAAATTTCCAAACATAGTGTTGAACGCCAGAGGAAAGGGAACCTTCTGTGCCATTGACTTCAAGACACCTGCACTCAGAGACAAAGCCGTAAAGGTTTGTCACATTCAGACTCAATGACTCAATAGTTGCGTTTAAATACATCCCTGAATATAATCTATAGGTTCTGCACAAAAATGGAGTCCACTGTGGAGGTAGTGGTAGTGCGACACTACGCGTGCGAACCACCCTAACCTTCAACAGCACTCACGTCGATATCTTCCTCAAGAAATTCGAGTTAACTCTTAAAGAACTTAATGAATGAATGATTCCGTGTTTTATCGCAATATATTCCAACAATTTTCAGTTCTTTTGATATGAATGTCTTCCATAATAAATATTTTATCTGTTATTCGACTCTAAGATCTGTTCATATTATGACACAAACTATCAATCGTTAAACTAATTACCAATTTATTCAATAAAACCTAATATAAATGTAATCACTATTTGGGTTACATTTCATTCACTTAAATGTTAACTAATTTATTATACTTTACAAACAATTTGAAGACAAACTGTGGCACTAAAGCCGGAGTCCAAGTGTCGGCTCACTCGAGACCCTTACGGCCCGGATCTGCGATCTTCCAACTCATCCTAAGGTCACCGTAATTACGACCTCCAAGTGTCCCGTTTTCAATCCGAAGGTCTTCAATGTCTTTGGGGAACAGAATCTGCCAGCCGTTGGGGAAGTTCTTCGTGGAAGTGTTGGCCCGAAGGTTAAGCACACCCGCGAGAGCGCCCGCAGCAGCTACTGCCGCACCGACACCTGTGCTGCGGACTGATTGAGGCATACATTAGATACATATGAAGAGACAAAACGAGTCAAACCAACACTTATAGCCCCAAATGAGTCCAACGGATGCGCCGCCAATCATGTGATTGAACGGGTGTTCCCAAGAGTCGTGTCGTTTGCCCCTTAGGTTTGCCACACAGCAGGTGATGGCAGCGTATAAGACAAACGATCCACCTTTGGATGAGATCACAGATTAGACAATGTCTTCATATTCATCACCTGGAAGTACCTATTCGTCCGAAATGAGAGGCCATTCGTCCGACAGCTGTCATGTAAGACAACTGTTTGTTGGCCAACACGTCAATCATTGCGATACAAGACGCTTAAGACATGGAGGACACGGAGGACACCATTAATATATGTTAGCATTCAGTCAATTATCAATGAATACCTGCTTTGGCGCCATAGACGGCATATGAGTAGACCTTCTTATGGCAGTCCTCGTAGTCCGGGGTATCAAAGAAGTAGTACCTCGTCTTCGGCGGTACGTTTTGTAACTCATTTTGGATCTCCTTTTTGGTGTAGAAGGACCAGAGGTTGGGGAATATGCCCTCTGGGATGGGATACGGGGGACACCACAAGGGTTTGTAAGTGTATTTGTCGGGCAGTTCCGGCCAAACCATGTCTTCGGCACTCAATTCAGTGTCCAATCAATCGATACGATCACTGATCCACACAATATCAACACAAATGAAAACAATATTTGACACAAAAATTACGTCCATTTGTGTTGAATTGTAATTTGCATTCATTTGAGGGTTCATTCAATTGATTTAAACATCTATTAATTGACGATTAATTGATTGCAATATAACTTTCAATCATTTGTATGCATAATATGTTTCAATCAGGATACTTTTCGTACTCATTATACAAATCTTGACATTTGTTTCAAATCTAATTTTCTGACTTTTATTAATTAAATACAAAGTTTTATATAAATTTATAATACATTTCAAACATTTAATCATTCATTTAAATACAAATCCTTTGATAATATGATAACATTTGTACACAAATTGACAATTAATTGTAATGAAGAGGACATTGAATGGACTGAATGTCACAAATATTGCCACAACTGATGCAATGGTGAGGACCTCTTTGCGATCTGATAAGCGGTTTCTCCGCTATCATTGGTGAGAGTGATGTCGATGTCTTGGTTGTGGAGAAACAGTTCCAGAAGTTGTCGGTTGTTATGACTGGCGGCCAAATGGAGGGCAGTGTTGCCGCCATCGGACACGGCGTTGATATCAGCGCCACAATTGATGAGCAGATCTGCGGCGCCAGTGTTGGCCCACTTGGAGGCGCAGTGCAGAGGTGTCCAGCCGTCCAGAGTGCGCGCCCTCACGTCAGCCCCCCTTCCGATCAGAAGTCGCATCACTTCCGTGTGATTGTTATACGCAGACCGATGCAGAGGAGTGTACAGATCACTGTCCACTGCCATCACCACACTCTGGTCCCGAGACAGACACCACTTCACGCCCAACAGGTCCCCGTCTTCGGCCGCTTTTAATATCATTTCATTTAAATGCAATTCATTGAAATTATTTCTTTTGCCGTCCAATGAATCGTTTAGTTTGTCACTCATGTCTTCATTTGGACGACAATTAGCACATAAACTGTGGTAATGTTGGACACAATCAATGTCTTAACCGATATGTGAGTGAACAGTGATTTGGTTGACTTGTGGTATGTGTTGACCACTGATTGCAATACAAATCATTGTGTGAATGATAGTGTCATATGTGAAAGCGTATGACATTTGATAACAAGTAAAACATAGAAAATGTTGTGTCGAGTGTTACTGTATGTGAGCTTAGGTTAGGTTTGAGCTGTTTTTGTGAAACCTATGCATTGAATGCATTGAATTATGAATACTCTATTCAATAAGCATTCAATGCATAGATTTCACAAAAACAGCTCAAATCTAACCTAACATAACATAACACAGTATTGCATTCAAGTCTCAATATTATATTCAGTACCACACCATTCAATACAAAATAGTATTTTCAATTAAATTATTGTTAATATTTAATTCATGGTGTTTTCTAATTATTAACTTATAATTAAACAATAGTATAGTAGGATGCCCTAAAGTAGATTGATTGTATTATATTATACTGTTTAGTTTAAGATAATTTTGGTCACATATTCTGATCAATTGTCTGTTACTGTTAACTAAAAGTTACAAAACTATTATCCATAGCACTAATTGTCATAAATTGCATAACTGGGTGGTGCGGGTGTTTTAATATGATTTGTCCTCAATATTGCCATTAGTATTACTATTTTTCGACATTCATATGAATATATTAAAGAATAATTTATCATAAAATAATATTTTTATTAAAATATACCTGTACATATAAATGAAATTTAATTATATTTTATAGACTAAAGGATGAATGTGATATATGACATTTGACATAAAAAAAACAGTTCACAATAATAATAGCATTTAATGAATGATTTGTGTCACTTTTTGTAAAAATATTTTTAATTATAAAAATAAAATATATATATGGTGGGAAAAAATCCAATAAATAATTTGACATTTTTAGTAAAAATCTAAAAGGTCTTAACATTTGAATTGCTTACACATACAGAACAGTATATCATACAAAAGATTTGATAGTTATGACTTTTGGATTTTTTACTCAAAATATGAAATTATTCATTGAATTTGTTGCCTCACTTATATTAGTCAAAGTATTTATAAAAAGTATTGTCCCTTAAATAATTTGCACCCCATTTATAAAATAATTATATTTGTGTATGAGTTTTGAAAATGAGATTCAAATGTTGTAATATGGCCAATAGTGGCCAAGATGCTACATACTGGCTTAGACTATAAAGTAGCAAAATTAAACCCACAAATACAACATTAATAAGTACATTGATAATTTTTGCAAAACTTTAGAATTGAACAGAATTTCTCAATAAATGACATTACTGCAATAAATTATGATAATGTGTTTATCATATTTTTATTATTTGATTGCAAATAAAATTTATTCAATATTTAGCACAATATTATCATAAGTATTACGATAGGATACTATTAAATAAATTCAGATTAATTGTCGATTAAATAATGAGAATCAGAGAATTGTGCAAAAAGNCAGTAACACTCGACACAACATTTTCTATGTTTTACTTGTTATCAAATGTCATACGCTTTCACATATGACACTATCATTCACACAATGATTTGTATTGCAATCAGTGGTCAACACATACCACAAGTCAACCAAATCACTGTTCACTCACATATCGGTTAAGACATTGATTGTGTCCAACATTACCACAGTTTATGTGCTAATTGTCGTCCAAATGAAGACATGAGTGACAAACTAAACGATTCATTGGACGGCAAAAGAAATAATTTCAATGAATTGCATTTAAATGAAATGATATTAAAAGCGGCCGAAGACGGGGACCTGTTGGGCGTGAAGTGGTGTCTGTCTCGGGACCAGAGTGTGGTGATGGCAGTGGACAGTGATCTGTACACTCCTCTGCATCGGTCTGCGTATAACAATCACACGGAAGTGATGCGACTTCTGATCGGAAGGGGGGCTGACGTGAGGGCGCGCACTCTGGACGGCTGGACACCTCTGCACTGCGCCTCCAAGTGGGCCAACACTGGCGCCGCAGATCTGCTCATCAATTGTGGCGCTGATATCAACGCCGTGTCCGATGGCGGCAACACTGCCCTCCATTTGGCCGCCAGTCATAACAACCGACAACTTCTGGAACTGTTTCTCCACAACCAAGACATCGACATCACTCTCACCAATGATAGCGGAGAAACCGCTTATCAGATCGCAAAGAGGTCCTCACCATTGCATCAGTTGTGGCAATATTTGTGACATTCAGTCCATTCAATGTCCTCTTCATTACAATTAATTGTCAATTTGTGTACAAATGTTATCATATTATCAAAGGATTTGTATTTAAATGAATGATTAAATGTTTGAAATGTATTATAAATTTATATAAAACTTTGTATTTAATTAATAAAAGTCAGAAAATTAGATTTGAAACAAATGTCAAGATTTGTATAATGAGTACGAAAAGTATCCTGATTGAAACATATTATGCATACAAATGATTGAAAGTTATATTGCAATCAATTAATCGTCAATTAATAGATGTTTAAATCAATTGAATGAACCCTCAAATGAATGCAAATTACAATTCAACACAAATGGACGTAATTTTTGTGTCAAATATTGTTTTCATTTGTGTTGATATTGTGTGGATCAGTGATCGTATCGATTGATTGGACACTGAATTGAGTGCCGAAGACATGGTTTGGCCGGAACTGCCCGACAAATACACTTACAAACCCTTGTGGTGTCCCCCGTATCCCATCCCAGAGGGCATATTCCCCAACCTCTGGTCCTTCTACACTAAAAAGGAGATCCAAAATGAGTTACAAAACGTACCGCCGAAGACGAGGTACTACTTCTTTGATACCCCGGACTACGAGGACTGCCATAAGAAGGTCTACTCGTATGCCGTCTATGGCGCCAAAGCAGGTATTCATTGATAATTGAGTGAATGCTAGCATATATTAATGGTGTCCTCCGTGTCCTCCATGTCCTCCTTGTCCTCCGTGTCCTCCGTGTCCTCCATGTCTTAAGCGTCTTGTATCGCAATGATTGACGTGTTGGCCAACAAACAGTTGTCTTACATGACAGCTGTCGGACGAATGGCCTCTCATTTCGGACGAATAGGTACTT